AAAAGTATTCTGAGCCACCCACTTTGCTAGCAATGCCTTCATTGTGCAAATCTGTCATTGGCCCAGCTGCCTGCTCTGCAGACCTCTTATCAAATGCCACTAGGCAAGCAAGGGTGGGCATCTCATGTTGGTTCTTAACCTATGGCATCTACTACTCCCAATTTTAATCATACAGGGCCTACAAAATAAAATTTAAACCTTGAATTGGTATCAAAGCCCCCAGTCTATTCTTAGTCATAAACAAGCCATCACTCCAATCTATCATTGTCCCCTGAACATACCCATCTTGACTCCCATGGCTTTCTGTTGCCTGGGATCTGTACCTCTTCGTTTCCTTCCCCAACTCACCCTTGACACTGCTTTGCTTTAGTTTTCATTCTTGAAATGTCAATGCAAGTCTCACTTACTCCAAGGAACTTTCTCTCACTGCCTTAGTGATCCCTCTATTTCTAAATAACCCTCCCTTAGCACACCTAGCTTCCTCATGCTTTTGATAAACGAGTAATAATATAAATGATGTTTCTGGTTATTATCTAATTACATTGTTTTCTGAATCTTCACTGGACAGGACTTTTTGTATGTTAGTAATGGTGTTTTATCACCTTTAAAAATATTTTTATTGATTTCAGAGAGAAAGGGAGAGGGAGAGAGAGAGAAACATCAATGACGAGAGAGAATCATTTGATTGGCTGCCTCCTGCATGCCCCTCACTGGGTATAGTGCCCAAAACCTGGATACATGCCCTGACCAGCAATCAAATCATGGCTATCTTGTTCATAGGTTGATGCTCAACCACTGAGCCAAACTGGCCAGGCAGTGTTTTCCCACTTTTAACCTTACTATTGAGGATTATATGTTGTGTGTTTCATGGCTCGATGAAGATTGGTTGAGTGAAATGATGAACATTGATTAGTGTGTTAAACCAGAGAAAGTAGTTGGAAAACCAGAGAAAGTAGTTCTTGCTTGGTCTCAATAAATAGTTGCTTTAAAGTACTTCAGATCATGCCAGGACCGGTTTGGCTCAATGGATAGAGCGTCAGCTTGGGGACTGAAGGGACCCTGGTTCGATTCCGGTCAAGGGCATGTACCTTGGTTGCAGGCATGTCCCCAGTAGGGGGTGTGCAAGAGGCAGCTGATCGATGACTCTCTCTCATTGATGTTTCTAACTCTCTATCTCTCTCCCTTCCTCTCTGTATAAAAATCAATAAAATATATTTTAAAGTACTTCAGATCAGGAGGGAGAGCTGTTGGTAGTTTCATCTTTATTATAGCTGCAGCTGCAGTAATTCATGGGGGAAGGAACAGCTTTTAGAATTTTATTCTAAAGGAAGAACAATGACAGTCACTCATGCTCAGTATAGGGTTTCAAGTCTTAGAAAAAAGATAGGCCAAGCCTAGCTCATTGCTATCGGAGAGGTGTTGTCAAATAAACTAGACAGGTGTGTGTGTGTGTGTGTGTGTGTGTGTGTGTGTGTGTGTGGTGGGGTGATGAAGGGGGGGGCAGAGCAGATGAGCCCCACCAGGTGCAGGGAAGTCATTTCAAGCAATAATCCAGCTGGGAAGCTATAGCTGATGACAGATTCTGGGCAGAATGGTGTGTGGAGAGCAAGACTGAATAATGAGGAATAGAGCCCATCAGCTGGGCCAATCCCACAACACTGAGCCCAGAAGTGGGTGTTGTTAGGAGGCCCAAGGAGACAAGGAGTCCTCCACCATTGTAGAACCTGCCAGCAGTGACCACCCTAAGTTGGGGCTCAGCGTTGGGTTTCAGGTCCTGACAGAGGGCCTGGCAGGATGAGGTATTCCCTGACGTGGAGAGCTTAGGGTTCTATTTATGGCTCCAGCATGGGAATAAGATACTATAGCTGAAATAGAGGTGGAGACAATATTGTTCTCAAGAGTAAAAACCCAGATAATCCAGATCCAAGTTTAGAGTTGGCCTCTGAGGATGTGAGTAAGGATGACTGTAGATATAAAGAGAAAGGATGTGGAACTTGATGATGGTGTATGGCTGTGATGTAAGAAACCGAGGACCAGAGAAGTGTGGTGATTTCAATGTCCAGTCACATTTCTTGTTGGCAGTTGATCTAGGCTTAGTTCCAAGTTCATGTGATGCTCCCAGGCCAATGGTAGAGTGCTTATTTCAGCTTGCCAGGGTTTTCAATGGGGTCCTCAGTTTCCATGGAGGTGCCCTGAGGCCAGTTACAGGAGTGAGCGATTAGGAGGAGGCATTCAATGTGCACAGATTGCACTTTTCTGTTTATTATTGAAGGATTCTTATGTAAGATTTTTTATAAAATTATTTTTATTGATTTCAGAGAGAAAGGGGGGGAGAGAGAGAGAGAGAGAGAGAGAGAGAGAGAGAGAGAGAGAGAGAGAGAAACATCAGTGATGAGAAAAAATCCTTGACTGGCTGCCTCTTGCACCCACACTGGGGATTGACCCCACAACCTAGAATATGCCCTGACTGGGAATCAAACGAACGCTGACCTCCTGGTTCATAGGTCAAAGCTCAACCAATAAACCATGCTGGCTGGACTAGTGTAAGATTTTGATTGAAAAATTCAAAGCTAAAAAAAAGCTTAATAGTGAGTTTGACAATGACAGTTACAATTTACATCCCTTTCTGAAGTGCTGGATTTTAGAGAAAAATAGATGCCTAGAGCTCAACAGCATGACAATATAAAAAAAATCCACCAGCATAGGAAAAATTCTCCACAAAGGGTGACAATACAATAGGCAGAAAAAAATGTGTGCCTTCACCAAGGGATTTTGTAAGGAGCTATGACATTTTAGATTCTCAGGAAGTTGCAATGGTTGTGTCTCCATTGTGATATGACCTTTAGGAAATCAATAAAATTTATTGTACCTTTTCAGTGTCCATTGTATATACTTTGAACTCTAGAGGCAAGAATAAAACCATTTGAGCTAGGTCAAATAATATATGGGTGTGTTATGTTTTTAGAACCCAAGGACAGAAAATGCAGAGCATCTCAGTAGAATCAGAAGTCAAGGCTCTTCTCTTTGCTGTGCAAGGGCTTTTATGGCCCCTAAGGGGCTTTATGGCCTCTATTATTGCTCATTTACCAAAAGCATGAGGAAGCTAGGTGTGCTATGGGAGGGTTGTTTAGAAATAGAGGGATCACTGAGGTAGTGAGAGAAAGCTCCTTGGAGAAAGTGAGACTTGTATTGACCTTTCAAGAATGAAAACTAGCAGAAACCAGTTTGGCTCAGTGGATAGAGTCAGCCTGCGGACTCGGGTTCGATTCTGCTCAAGGGCATGTACCTTGGTTGTGGGCACATCCCCAGTAAGGGGTGTGCAAGAGGCAGCTGATCAATGATTCTCTCTCATTGATGTTTCTAACTCTCTATCCCTCTTTCTTCCTCTCTGTAAAAAATCAATAAAAATATATATTTAAAAAAAAATGAAAACTAGAGCATCTTTCTTCTACTCATCTATAATCCATAATGACTGGCAGGTCACTTATTTGACATCACATTTGGATTACATTCTCTATGTGAAAATCCTTGGGTCAAAATTTTCAGAGACAGACATTAACTCAGCACAGTTTACAGAATGATTTTCTATAAGTGATATCTCTATGTCAGATCCAATTAAGTTTGATGGAGGAAGAGGTGATTTTATAGGTTATGAGGAAGCAGGCAGCAAGGCTATGATAGGCTTCTGACCTTGGAGGGGGTGCAGGTGGGGAGACAACAGTTGGTGTCTCTACAACAGACTTCCACAGAGACAACAAAAATACTGTACTTTGGAGGGTTCCCCAGGATGTTACAAAGTGTACTATTCATTGCTGTGCATGTTTGAGAAGATTATAGAGGCTACCAGACAGCTCTTACCATTTTAGTAGTTATAGTCCATCAGAGATCCTGAGATGCCAGCATTTCCCTAGACGTTCCGTCTTCCAGCGTCTTCACAATAGAAACAATATTCCTACAAATGGGGTCTAGTTGTCAAGTCAAATGACTAACCAAAGAAGACCTCAAGGAATGTATTCATTTGGTTTTACATTAGACATAAACTTCCTTGCAGTGTTGAGAGAATGGGCTCTGGAGTTCTACCAAATGTAGAACCTGGCCTTACTAGGCAATAATCACACAGCCTGAAGCAGGTTAGTTAGCCTCTCCAAGTCCCCATTTCTCCGTTTGTGAAAACCACATGGTGGAAAAGAAAATATCTTCCAGGGTTTGTGAGGAATATGCCCTGAGAACAATTTTGATCCCTAGCAATTACTAAGTAAATATTCCCCAGGATTGTCATCATTACTGTTAATCTCCCTTTCATGTCTTATAGATTCAAATGAATTCAAGTTTTCACATCAATTACTTCTCTGCCTTCTTCACAGATCTTGCCCTCACTTCATCCCCAGATCTTTGCAAGGGCTTGTTAGTTAGTCAATTGACTTCAGCAGTGTTGTGCTTTATGCTTTGCACTTACCCATATTTTCCAGCATATAAGACGACCCCCTAATTTTACAGTTAAAACGTAGGTTTAGGCCTATATTCGCTGTATAAGACTACCCTCCACTTCAAAGAAAAGACTTACTTTGCCATCAAGATCTGCAGGTAATTTTTGTGCAATTTTGGTCTTTTGCCCCCAATTTTCGGTTGACTTTTTTTTGTTTCAAAAGTTATCTTATACGCCGGAAAATACGTAAATCATTCTTACAATCAAAGATGGGACAGAGGATGCATAAGGAATAGAACCTTGATCTGATTTTGTGCAATTTGATGAGTATAGAGAGCATGCATTTCAAATCTTCCCTTTAGATGAGTTGAATGTATGCCTCTCTCCTGAAATAAAAAGAAGGCCCCTGATGATTTCTCCAGTTTAATGATCCATGTCAGTAAGATCTAAAATTGTCATCCTCTATACTGAAAAACATGCAATCTGTCCCTTGAGACTGTGCACAAGATCAGAGAACTGGAAAACCACAGGAAATGCTTTAAGCTAGATTCACTCTTGTTCTTCTCTCCTGCAGGAGTCAGGTTGCCCTGATGATCATGAACTTGACTTCTGAACACTGCAACATCTCAGATTGGCTGAGGCTTGAAGCAACAGTGAAGGCCTCTGTGTACGTGGTCACTTTCTCCTTTGCCACATTCATCACGATCATCATCATCGCAATAGTATCACAGAATTCAAAACTTAGGAAAGAGGTCCGATACATCTTCCTCTGCCACCATTTGCTGTGCATCTCTTCCTACTGTGGCCTGGGAATGGTGTTCCAAGGGATGAGGGCCCTGATGGCCAACAGCCCTGTGCTGATGTGCTGGTTGGTGTTTGGGGCCCAGATAAGTTTTGGAGAAGGGATCCTTTTTACTCTGGCCTTGATGGCTGTCAACACTTACCTGGTCATATGTTGGCCATTGAAATCTCTGTCCTTTGTAGATTCATTTAAGTATAGAATCCTGGCTGGGACTTGGATAATGATTATACTCAAGAATGTTTGCTTATTCATCATAGAGGGCACCAGCTCCAGTTCGGTTGCTGTTTTAAAAGTAGAGCCCCTTTGCCCAGTGATTTTCAATGGTATTCCTGCCAGAGCCATTGGCATGATTTTCTTTCTCCTTCCTCTAGCTATAATTCTTATAAGTTACTCTCTAATATATCAAGAAGGCAAACGTGCTGGCCATTTTAACAGGTCAAATATCAAAGCAAGGAAAACAGTCCTAATTCATTTTTTGCAGATCATCTTACATGTAATACCAACCCTGATATTTATAGGTTTGGGAAAGATGTGTGGAGTGTTTTTCTTTGCTTTAAATCTGGTGCTTTTTGGAGTCTTTTCATTTGGCCAGTGTTTTAATCCTCTGATCTATGGGCTCTGGAATACCGACTTGCAAAGCAGATTATGTCATTGGATATGCTGTCAACTGGGGTATAGTAGTCACACAATGAACAGCAGAGGGCAAGTTTAAACAAAAACTCAGCCATTTGGGGTCAATAACTCTAGTTCTAGTGGACCATCATCTAAGGTGAAGTACTTGCCTTTTATTCAACCTCAAATTGGTGCATTGACTTGATATTGAAAATAATATTAGCAAGTCAAAGTTTCATCTGGTTTACAAACTTTGTTGCTGCATACACTGATCTGTCCTCAGTGAAATCATTTTATGTCTTTAATTTTAAACTCCAATCAACATTTGGCAACTTGCCTTCTTGTGTGCAGTAGTTGAGCAACTTTTGAGAATGCTCCTGATTTTTAGTGACTGCGAAATAGTCCATAGTTGATATGAAGGAAGTAAGTTTCATTGTTCCCTTTATGATAACTAGGGATAAGTTATAACAAAGCAGAAACAAAATAACAGTGACTTTAGAAAGTTAGAGATTATCACTTTTTCTTATGTAAAAGAAATCTGGAGGTACACTATCCAAACCTATGTGGCAAGTTATTCTCAGGGCATATTCTCTTTTCCTTTGGTATGATTTGCATACTACCTACTGACCCCAGATGGCTGTTAGTGCTATCATTACATTCTCACTCCAGCTAACAGGAAAGAGCAAGGGGCAAAGAAGGGTCAGTACTTCTTCTGAAGACACTTTCTAGGAGTTACAGAAAACATTTTTTCTTACATGTAACTGGCCAAAATTTAGTTATATGGCTATGGACAAGTCATATGGCTTTAAGGGAGAGTGGGGAGAAATTTTAGCAAAGTATCGGGTCTAGTAATAATTAATGTCGTTTTTAAACATTCGTTTAAAATCTTGCTTGGCGTTGACTTGTATTGACATAACCTTCAAACACGTGGTATCTACAGTACGTGTGAAGTGCAATTAACAAGTTTTGCTTGAAAAAGTTTGTGTTTGGTTTGGTTTTTGTTGCAAAATTAGGGCTAAGAAGATGGCGGATGAAGAGCATATTCGGCACTGCATGCTTTACGAGTTCCAATTAGGAAGAAAAGCAAGTGAGGCTGCAAAAAACATCTGTAGTGCTCTTGGTCAAGATGCAGTTAGCTCCAGAAAATGCCAGCGTTGGTTTGAGAAATTTCGCGAGGGAAATTTTTCGTTAGATGACAAGAGTGGTCGAGGCCGTGTGTCCAATTTTGATCAAGAAGCTCTTCAAGCTCTTTTGGTGCAAAATCCTCAAATTACCCAACAAGAGCTTGCGACAACTTTAAATTGTTCACAAAAAACAATTTCCAATCAATTGCGTGTACTTGGCAAGGTCCAAAAGTTTGGAAAATGGGTTCCTCATGAGTTGACCGACAACAACTGTAATCAAAGAGTCACAATTTGCAGTTTGCTCCTCTCTCGTCAAAACCGTTTGCCGTTTTTAGAGCAAATTGTTACCGGAGATGAAAAAGGGGTGTTGTATGTTAATTTGAAAAGGCGGCCTCAATGGTTGGACAAAAATGAGGCTCCGCAGCCCACGCCAAAACCTGACTTGCATGCGAAAAAAGTGATGTTGTGTGTTTGGTGGAATTTTAAAGGAATTCTTCATTATGAACTTTTACCATCTAACCCAACCATTACAAGTGCAGTGTATAGTGCCCAATTGGAAAGGTTAGCCCAAGCTTTAAGAGAAAAAGAACCCGCGCCGATTAATCGGAAGGGCGTAATTCTTCACCACAATAACACACGACCGCATACTGCAAGAATCACTGCTGAAAAACTGCACCAGTTGGAAGGGGAAGTTCTCCCTCAACCTGCATATTCTCCTGATATTGCCCCTTCCGATTACCATTTGTTTCGTTCTTTGCAAAACTTTCTTCTTGGAAAAAAATTTAATAATGAAGAATGCCTCAAAAATGCATTGACCGAATTTTTTTGCATCAAAATCACAAGAATTTTACAACAGAGGGATTAAAATGCTTCCTGAGTGTTGGGCACAAGTAGTAGAAAACAACGGCAACTATATTGTTGATTAAATTTTGTTGTATTGTTTAAATAAATTCGATTTAAAAAAGTATTAGAAAACGACATTAATTCTTACTAGACCTAATAGTAGTGCCTTCAACTACCCAGTTAAAAAATAGAGTTCTTAATACTAAGAAAGAAAGAAATAATGGATATCCGGTAGCAAAACTATCTCAGGGGTCATTTTCTCAATAAAATAAAGTATAAAGGAATACAGTGGATGCATTATGATTGTCACAAAAATATATTCTGCCTTACAACATGATATACAAATACAGTGTTAACTGTTCAGAATTCCAGGAAACTTTGTGTCATGTCAATAGCTCTCAAAGAGAATGACATCAGTAAAGAGAACACTGAACTGGTTTAAATAGAATTAACACATTTTTAAATCTAAGAAAGTGTGAGACAGCAATATGACAAATTCTTTCAGATAACTTTATATATGAAATTTCTTTACATGAGATATCCATCTGTGAATCAGTCAGGATTCATTTCTAGAAACAGGAATTACCACTTTAGGCATTTAAACATAAAGGAGCTAATTCAGGAAGTAGATGCTTACAGAGTCACTGAAAGGGTTGGAGGAGTGGAAGTCAAGGCCACCATTCATTGATGTCAAGAGTCATCTACTGCAGCTGTGATCTGGAGGTCAAGCAGCTGCTTCCACCATGGCTCCTGCTGCCACATGCCACTCATAGCTCTGTGATTTTATTTGCCAAAATAAACAGCAACAGGAAGACATTCCATCCTCCAGTTCTTACACGATTGCCTCTGAATTGGTGAAACATACCTGGCATCCAGATTCTAAGAGCAAAGTAGTTTGGGAAATGTAGTTACCTCAAAAGGAGTGTGACATGAGGATGGAATGAGATCCATCATTACAATATTTGGCTTCATTTACAGGTAACAACAACAATAACTATGATGACAACAAAGAAAATAGTTATTTTTATTATATAATATAAGATAGTATTGAAGAACTATTATGCTCCCAACACAGTGTAAGCCATTTTATATACACTGTGCCAAATCCTCACAACAATTTTATATGCAGGTATTACTATTCCTGACTTACAGATGAGAAATACTGAGGCTTAGAAAAGCTTTGCAGGAGTTTAGAAGGCCAGCACCTTCCCTTTAAGACAGGATTTGGCCCAGGGTGATCATTTCATCATTACTAAAAGCTGAACCAATTGCTGGGGAAATTTGAGCCTTGCTTCTTCACTTTGCTTTGGGTACAGACCCCTGGCTGTGGAAAAGAGTCTTTTCTCACCTTTTGCTTTGACTACATTCTCCCATCCTTAGTACTCGCCCCCCACTTTATGTATGTATGTATGTATGCATGTATGTATGTATGTATGTATGTATTTATTTATTTATTTATTTATGTAAAAAAGCTATTCTTTTAATTTTTATTTAATTTATTGGGGTGACATTGGTTAATAATTTTGCATAGGTTTCACGTGTACAATTCTCTAATGTTATCTGTATATCCGCATTTTCCAGTGTATTAGACGACCCCCTAATTTTTACAGTTAAAACATAGGTTTAGGCCTATATTCGCTGTATAAGACTACCCCCCACTTCAAAGAAAAGACTTACTTTGCCGTCAAGATCTGCAGGTAATTTTTGTGCAATTTTGGTCTTTTGCCCCCGATTTTCGTTTCAAAAGTTGTCTTATACGCCGGAAAAAAACGGTATTGTACTGTGTGTTTATGGCCCAAAGTCAAGTCTCTTTCTGTCACCATTTACCCCCTCCCTGCTTTACTCTCTTTTATCTCCCCTCACCTCCCTTTTCTTCTGGTAATCAGCATACTGTTGTATGTGTCTATGAGTTTTTATGGGGATTTTTTTGTTTTGTTTTGTTTTGCTTAATCCCTTCACTTTTTTCACCCAATCCCCCAACTCCCTTCTCCTCTGACAACTGTCAATCTGTTTTCTGTATCTATGAATCTGTTTCTATTTTGTTCATTAAATTCTGCATACTAGTATAAGTGAGATCACATGGTACTTGTTTTTCTTTAGCTGACTTATTTCACTTAGCATAATGCTCTCCAGGTCCAACCATGCTGTCGCAAAAATTAGGATTCCTTAATTTTTACTGTCAAGTAGTAGTCTATTGTGTAAATGTACCACAGCTTTTTTTATCCACTCAGTTACTGAGGGGCACTTTCAAATCTTGGCTATTGTAAGTAACACTGCAATGAATATAGGGGTGAAGACCCCTGTTGTATTTAGATTCTAGTGGCTTCTGTGTCATGTGTAGACTCCACTTTGACTTCAAGTTCTTCTTGTCTTCTCTGTTCAGTCTAAGGCTTCCCTGTTCCTCCAATCCCAACTCTGAGAATTCAAAATATCACTACTCTTTCCTGATATGCAAATCTTTTCTAGGGTGGGCACCAGGGCTTATTACCTTTGTCTCCTGGTAGATGTCAGGCCCTTGACAAAAGATGAAAAGGACTCATTGGTCCATAAAACATGCCTTTCTATAAACTCCCTCTTCCTAAAACTCAAGTTGTTTGTTGTTGCTGTTTTAATCTTCACCTGAGGATATTTTTCCATTGGTTTTTAGAAAGAATGGAAGGGTGAGGGAGAGACAGAGAAACATCAATGTGAGAAAGACACATTGATTGGTTGCCTTCCAATCAGGGTGAGGAAACTTGCAACCAAGGTACATGCCCTTGACCAGAATCGAACCTGGGGCCCTTCAGAATGTGGGCCGATGCTCTATCCACTAAGCTTAACCAGGTAGGGCTACCTCTTTGTTTTGGTTGAAATTTTAAGCAATCTGAGATTGGGAGAAAATCTCAAAAAATTACTAAGCTTAACTCAGTTAAAATTGTGTAGATCTAATATACACAATTTAATTTATCCTTAAAACTCTTTTTTATCCTTAAATTTAAGCTCCATTTTCTAATATCAAAAGGTAACTTCTGCTAACATTGAGTATTAGAATGGTAGTTTTTCTTTTTAAAAGCAAATTAATAATTTTTAAAAATTGAGACTGTATAGCACATGTGTCAAACACAAGGCCCGCAGGCCAAATCCGTCCCGCCAGGCCTTGCAATGTGGCCCGCACCTCGCTGTCATCACTGCACTCCACTGCGTTTCCATCACAATGACAGTTTATGACTGTTCAGTAAACCATTCGGCCCGCGATTTAGGCTGGATTTTAGATTTTGGCCCCTTCTCTGATTGAGTTCGACACCCCTACTGTATAGTATAAAATGCAAAAGGTTCAAAATTATATTTACTGAAAAGTAAGTCTTTCTCCTCCCCATTTTCCCAGGCCTCCAGTTCTCTCTCTCTTAAAAAAAAAAAAAAAAAAAAAAAAAAGTTTTTATTGATTTTTAAGAGAGAGGAAGTGGGAGATAGAAACATCGATGAGAAACATCAACATCTATGGGCTCTGTTTCCTATATGAACCCTGCTGGAGAAGGAGCATGAAACCCAGTGCCCTGATTTGGAATTAAAGCAGTGACCTTTTGGTCCCTAGTTCAATGTTCAACCACTGAGACACACTGGCTGGGCTCCAGTTCTCTTTTGACAGTCAACTTCCTGTGTTTTCCTCAAGTAATTATCTCAAACAAGTAAGAATAATGTATAAACTATTGAGACTTTCTCATTTGTGAGATAATTTTGGTTTTGATATCCTGAACTTGGATTGGAAAGTTGTTTAAATTTGATATTCAGAATAATTAATAATTTATGTCATGAATGACATCAGCAATAATCTAAGTTCTGATGTGAAAATCCGTTGTACCCCTAGAGAACCTTAAACTTTGGCAAGATGCGGGAGAGAAGGGGAGAGATGAAAAGGGAGCTAAAGTTACTAGCAAT